AACAACAGAAAGTATTAGTAGTGTGTTATTATAACAGGTTCAGTGTAATAAAACAACAGAAAGTATTAGTAGTGTGTTGTTATAACAGGCTCAGTGTAATACAACAACAGAAAGTATTAGTAGTGTGTTGTTATAACAGGTTCAGTGTAATAAAACAGCAGAAACAACAGTCTGACTCAGCTCTCAGACCTGAATAAGGATACATGTGGACTCCCAGCTCTCCTCCTCCTTCAGCCACRGTCTCAATGATCTTCTTCATGACTTCAGCGTGTCTGAAACAGAAGAAAGACCTCAGCAGRGACAGACCAGGACAAACCGGTCCTGGTCTGGCTCAGTCATACAGTTCAGAACCAGAGCTAAGACCCAGAGTCTGGTTGAAGAACTCCAGAGGCCCACCTGCAGGGATGTACGGAGCACATGGCCGGTGGGGGGAGGTGGGGGTGGTTCTCGATTGTGACGGTCTTCTTCACGTGGTCCTGACTGATGTCCTCATACATCTGGTCCACAGTCAGGGGCTGTCTGTCCTGAGAAACAAAGCCAGGTCCAGTTAACGATAGGACAACAAGACCAGAGACCAGGTCTACATCAGGTCCACGTACCTCATCGTATCCAAAGAGCCAGAGTCGGGGGGTCTGGTAGTATTTATCGTAGGTGATGTAGAGGTCATAGGTCCTAGTCTGCAGGATGGCATCCTCTGTCCCTGCTTCAGCTTTGACTTTAGAGTCCACCACCTTACTGGTGTCCAGGGTGGCCTAGAACCAGAACCAGAGTCTGACTGGACCCACACCAAGCTCATGTTTAACTACAGGATCTAGCTACAAAGACAACAGAGCACTAGCTAAAGACAACAGTACGCTAGCTATAAAGACAACAGTGTGCTAGCTATAAAGATAACAGTATGCTAGCTATAAAGACAACTGAGCACTAACTATGAATACAACACTGAGCTAGCTAAAAAGACAAGTGTGCTAGCTATAACGACAACAGTGTGCTAGCTATAAAGATAACTAATAACTAAAACAAAAATAAATGCACGCTAAAAGTAAAAACGAAAATACCCACATTTTAAAAGGTATTACAAGTTTAGCTAAAACCTGAATGTATCAAAAAGCTTTCTAAAACTTAAACCTACCAGGCTTAAGTTAAATAAAGCAAAACATTAGCTAAAAGCTGCCAAACAGTAGCTAAAAGCAAAATGTAGCATAAAATTAGTTAAAAATAAATGTAGCAGAACAGCTAAAAGACACAGCACTGTTCTCGTATGAGCTGTCCAGTTTGATAAACAGAAAAATAAAAACAGAGAAACAGTGAATGCTGACTCAGCGTTTTCACAAACGTACCTCGTCTGTTTCCAACAACCCACTCTCCTCATACTCTGAAAAAACAAACAGAATATCAGCACTTTTTTTTCTGACTCACATATTGAGTGAAGAAACCCAGAAATAACAAATACCTTCCATATCTGCTGCTTCACCATCTTCATCCTCATCGTCCTCGTCTCCACAACACGCTGCTGATGTAGCGTTCATGTTCTGGTCCTGAGGACAAAGAGTTAAAGGACCTCTTTTCAACGAGGAACATGTTAAATATAACGTTTGGAGAAAATCAACCTGAAGGGTCTGATGATGTTCAAGTGTCCTGTGGGACACCTTACACACACCTCTAGGTGCCCCTCAGTAAAGTAAAGCCCCTTTTCCACTAGTGCCACTTAGTGTAGTGTCGGTACGGTCGGTGTAGGTACGGGTCGGACCGGTTGGTTTTCCACTGACGTTCCAGTCCGGTTCCAATGGGTGTGTTTTGGGCGGTTGGTGGAGGTGGTTTTTAGGTATTTTGAAWAAAARTTAATGGTCAAAATGAGAGATGGAAACACATTTGATGAATAACTTTTGAAATTTTAAACATTTACAAAAATTTAGCCAATCAG